GGAAATACTTATAATTTCATTAAAAAACTGTGAATAAATCACACCAACCTGTAACTCAAATAAAATCACATATTTTTTCCTTATTCATATATGTGTAAAAAGAAACTAAAATAAAAACAAGAATTACAGAGAAAAGATATGCACAAAATGTATGTGGTTGAAAGCCTTATAATCATTTTTATAATACCTATTTTTAATCACATGTTGTCCTTTTAATACATACATAATTTAAATAATAATAATAATAATAATAACTCGGTATAATGTACTTATCTAAATTCATAGTTGAATCGATATCTTGAATTTTTTTTATTTATAAAATAAGTAAATTGGATTTTACCCCTTTGTGTAATATATTGGTTGCAGATTATGCTTATTTTTTTCGAATATAACACCCGCTACAGTGATATGCAAAAGTTGATGTTTTATAAGGAAGTCGGAATCTTACTGTAGAGGAAAGTGTAATTGTGGGTTAATCGAAATTTACAGATGCTGCTATTTGTTGATTCACTTTTTCATGACACAAATGAATTATATACAATAATTCAATAAGCAAGTCTTATTTTTAGAAATAATATAATTGAAATTATTTTGTAAATTTTCTGTATGAATTAAATTTAAGCTCACTTCAATAATAAGTGCAAAGAATCAAACACACAGTATTTTCTACTTTATAACTATCCTCTCTTATATTTATTGAAAAAAATTGAGTTTAAAAATTTCACTATCAATCAAATTTTAAAATTAAATTAAATTAAATTAAATCTTTTCGATAGAGTGTATATTTCAACATTTCTATTTTTGATCATTTTGATATCTATTATAATATAAAAAATAACGGGTGCGAAAAAAAATACGTTCATTTGTACGTAATGTACATTTCATATTTTGTAAAAATTTAAAACAAAGTATCAGTGCACAGCACCCGTTTTATAGCAATTGTATAATATAAATGCATATGGGGCTCAGTTTCAGACTCAAGCGTTTGCTTTAAAGCTAAAGGGAACGTTGGCGCGGGTTTCTATCCCCATGCGCTTGTCTCTCTCCACTGGGGGCCCACGGAATCAGCATGTCCAATATGAACGTGACAACTGTCCGCCGGAACGCTGCCACGATCTGGAATGATTGCATGGGAAATTGGCAACCTATTCCCGCCCTAGTTGGATGTACAGACTATTGTTGGATGTGGATGTATGAAAACTATATTGCCTCATTTCACACACAAATGGAATGTGAGGTTGATGGGAAATCTTCATCTATCCCCACTAAAACATTCATCCCATTGGAAGATATTCGTGCACCAATTTAGCAAGATAGAAAATAAACAATCAACATTATTCAACTCTACGTAAGAAGGGGAATGTTAAAGAGACCAAGGTTTTTCTCAAATCAACCTAACCATGATGAAGAATATAAAACAATGATGAGAAAATAAAACAATTCCAGATATGATAATAATCAAACCCATGCCAATTCCTTCCGTTATCTTTTTTTCTTTTTTCTTTTTTGTAAATTCTACCCAATCCATATTTTACAACATTATAAAACGTGATTGATTCAAATTTGCAGAAGAATGAAGGGGAATTTAGACGTGGTAAAGAAGGGGGCTGGGGACAAGGCTTGATGCGTCACCGCCAGACTGAGCGATGACGTCACAGTCCGCGAGGGTCTCGGTGTGCACCATGACGTCATGCTTCTAGACCGGCGTCGGCACGCGTGAGGGAGAGAGGAGGACTCGGCGTTGAGGAGGGGCTTGAATTCGACACCAAATAGTCGGTAATGTGATGCTTTTCCTCGTCCTTTCCACGGAGCGACCTACCCACCTTCCTCCCTAACCTTCTTCAACGATGCCGAAGCCTCTTCTTTTCGTCGTTTTCGTCCTTTTTCCGTGGGCGTGACAGAAGCAAAGAATTGCTGGAAGAGGTTGCCGAAGTCGGATCGTCTCGTAAGTGCCCATCGTCGTACAGAATACGGTAGGGGGCATTCATTCGGGTCAAGTTTAGGGTGTTCCAGAAGCCGGCCGTGACGGGAATGTGCCTGGGCACGCACATTCGCACAGTCTTCCACTCACATACACTCGATTCACTCATTCGCGGGGGCTTGAATTAAGGGAGAAATGAGCGGCAGGTGCGGATAGACACCGATCCTAGAGAGAAGGGAGGATCGGCTGGTATCTATCGCCATGATGTTGGCCTGAATTCGGGGGGGCCAGAGCCACCTCTGTGATGGGGAACCGCATCGAGACGACGACGGAAGCACTTTGGAAAAGAAGTTAGTGTAGTCGGGAGTGGTGCCATTCCTGGGATTCAGCTGGAAAAGTGGTGCACACCGAATTTGTTTTCTCGATGATCGAGCACTGTTGTCCACCGACTGAACTGGAGGTTTGGGGGACACAGCTGGGTGAGGCTGATGGATTCTTTTTTACTATATTATTGGTAGGCAGCTACAGGTCTTTCGCTAAAACTCCTTCACTTTTACCGATGCGCGACTGTAGTCTTCGGCGTCACTGCTACTGTCGGACTCTACGAGCCACCTACTTCGACTATTATAACACTGTTATCCTTATAAACCACATAAGCAGAACCTTTAACAGAATACGTTGTCCCCTCACTCCGCTTTGTCCGCCTGAAAAACATGAATAGGATATATATTATAATAGGCTCTTTTTCAATGGAGTGTTAAATGTCATCTTCAGTGTGGTGCATCTTCCGAAGTTTCAATCTCGTTTGATGCACAAAGCACCAACTCATCTGTTGACCTACCTGGGGAATCCCGCCACTGGGTGGTACACCAATCATGTGCGGGGACTACTCCAAATCGAAGGTTGCAGAGCGGATTGCTCACAATTCAAAGACTAGTGTCGAGTTGGGGTTTTTCGCTCAGGGAGTGTGCAGACTTGGTATGGTTCGGAAAGTCGCAACTCAATTTATGAACAACTGGCAAACTTCTGAAGTGGTGGTAACTGCACTGTGGTAAAATATTATAAAATATAAAAGTACCTTCACAAACAAACAAACAAACAAACGGAACAGTCTAAATATGAATATTCTTGAATCAGCAAAAGTCTGATGAACAAACGATGCGGTCCGGATATGAATAAGGAAACCGTCACTTCTACGATTTTTAGATGCGATTTGTTGACATGGGTTCCAAGGTCGAAAGGTGGACTTCTTCAAAGATTGTTCACCACTTGCTTGAAAACAAAGTAAATCATCGTGCTTGTGTCATTGGTGCTTAAAATTCCACTATTAAGCTGGAGTTGTTTCTCAATTTAATTCACACTTGGGGGTGAAGACAAAAATCATGTCACTATCTATGGAGAAATTTGTCATCTACGTGTACTGCTCATATATATATATATATATATATATATATAATCACACACACACACAAACACAATCATTAATAATTGAAATGATATTGAATCATCTGAATTTTAGTTCAAAGAATGTGATCGTTACTCCTATAGCTTTTTCTTAAGCATATTTGGAACAGGATTAGCAATTCGATTCTAGTAGGACTTGACAGTAAAAAAAATAAAATAAAAAGAAACAGAAACACACATGAACAAAACAAAACAAAACAAAACTATATATTGATTGCACGACATTGTGTCTGCAACATCAGTTGTTTTAAGTTTTAACATCCCAATATCATTGTTTTATGACTTATCTTTGTTGGAGCGGTTAAAATACAATTAGCTTGAATTTCATTTTATTCAATTCGACAATTTCATGTTGTTGTAAATATTATTTTATCTTTTTATATTTCCGAAGCTTGCAGCAAGCATCACGATCCCTTCGAAGCCCATCAGGATTTGGTTTCATGTTGATGTGTGTGTGATGTGATGTGTGAGCTGCAAGTTGCCGGAAGCGTAGGGTGCCATGGGGGTTGTCAAAGCCCGTCACCGTGAAAGCTTAGGTTGTTTAGTAAAATATTATTTTTAATGTTTGAGTGTATGTTGAGTCTAGAGAGAATTGTGGGCCTCGATAAAACCGGGTCCAGGAAATTCGTCTAGCAAATTCTCCACCCTATCATTACGAGACCTGCGGTGCTTTTTCCAACTCAGGCTGCGGTCAACTTCGGTGGACATCACACTCATAGTCAGACAGACAGTGCAACTGTGCCTGGCCTCAGAACATGGAAAATCCATGGATGGAGTGGAGTGAAGCTTACATCATAGTAGGCGGCCATCATCCGCTCAAACGGTGTGCGACGATGACGAGCACCAGTAATCTTAAGCTCGTGTGACTGCATGTCTGTAATGCACACATTCTACACACAAGTCCCTTGTTTTCTCACGGCATCTTGACTTTCACAGGTCGAGCCCACTTTGAACTCTTGTCAACAACCACCAGCGGCACATTACATTTAACCCTGTCATCGCCCATGGGTTTCTCACCTGACTGCGTTCTTTCAGAAGCGAGAAAATGGCAAATCAGTGGTCAATCATGGCATGGTAAAAAGATACCATTCATACCACGGAGGGGGGTTGGCCCAACCGTGCTGCCACTAGTACTACTAATAACCAAGGTCAAGGCCTGATGAGATGAAGCCTCTCTTACGAAGCCTAAGCGTCTGGATGAAATTGACGAAAGGTCGCTGTGCTCGTCGATGGAGAGGCCTGTTTGTGGACAATTTCAATCTCTTCCGACCAGAGGGGTTTGGCTTCTCCCTAGGACCCTAAATAGGCGCATCGAGTGTCTGTAAATGAGCATGCACTAACCCGAAATTGGGGGGCAGGGCAGGAATTTATTGTGCTTCAGCCTATATCCGGCAGGAACGCGGGGGGTGGGTTTTGCCAAATCGGTGTGGAACATTCCAGTGAGCGGGCCAGGCAACCGAGGTGACACACAGGGAAAATGAAAAAGGAAAGAGGGGAGGAATCATTCGTCGGGAAAGGAGGATGAAGGGAAGTAGTTATAACGGCGGTGAACGTAGGTGGGGGGAGGTGAGCGTGGGGATGCGTGACAAGTACTGGTGTGGCGGTGGCGGGGCGGTACAACGGTCCAACCTACAACGTTACGTTATCTGCCTGGCTATTAGACGGGGCCATTGTCTAGGGAGAGTGAGGAGGGTCTGGAGAAGAAGTAGTAGAAGGGCCTTCGGGGTAGTAGGAGGAAGAATCAGGCCCCAGCTGCAGCAATCTGAGTCCTGCCCTGCCCGGGGCGTCTGTCCCATTGCGCTGCACTGTCGTCGAGGCTTCCATGCCATCTTCTCGAACCCTTTTCCCCTTCTTCTACCACCACCCACCACCCCCTCCCTCTCTCATTCCCAAATCAAACCATTCACAATCGCCAGGTGAAGGCGAGTGTTAGTCTGCCGAGACTGTGTTGCAGCAAGAAAGTGGGCTCCTTCTCCTTCTTCTTCTTCTTCCTCTCCTGCTCCTCTTGCCGACGCATCTTCTTGCCGCCTGGTCGTCCTCTCCTTGCTGCCGACGCTCCGCGTAACTCGTGGTACGTGTCTTACTCACTTGTAACATCCCTTCTGTCCTATTATGTGCATGTGTGTGTGTGTGTGTGTGTGTGTGTGCGTGTGTGGAGTTGGTGTGACGGGTTCGAAGTCGGTGATGATGCTCAGGGGTTGTGGGAGTTAGGAGGTGAAAGACCTTGATGCTTTTGGTGTGAATCGTTGTTGGGCGTGGTGTTCAAAATCGATAGTTGAGTCATTGTTGTCAGAGTTCGGACTTTGTGAAGTTGGGTGGTGGTGGTGGTGGTAGTAGTAGATGTGTCGATTTAAATTGTTTTGACCTGAGGTCCTTCGTCGTCGTCGGGCCATCGGCGCTCCAAGTTTGGTTTTGGTTTTGGTTCTGGTTTCTCCGCGTTTTCGGGCATCTGTCATGGGACTTCGTAGGCGGAAATTGCGGACATTAGGAATTTAGTGGAATTTCTGTTGAAATGCATCGTGATATCTAGTCACGACTACGATTGCATCCAAGTAGGAGAGCCCGTCGCTGAATTATAATTTTTTCTTCCGTTTCTATGTCGTGTTGATAAACACACCGAGGACTCTTTGAATGATTTCGCAAATCTTGATCCTACAAGTCGCTTGCACATTACGTGTCCTTGTTAGTAACGGCTCGTGTCTACCAATCTTTGGTGTCTTCCAGTATGTTTACTAATCAATATGTAGTGTAGATTTGATGCTCTTACTGTAGTGCAAGTTGAGTGAGGCAGATATTTGAATAAAGGCAAGAGATTATTTCTAGTTTAATATGTACAGCGCCTTAGCACAGCTGGGGTGCAATACCCCATCAATGTTATGGTTTTAATATCAGTGGTGTTGGTTTTGCCCACTACGGCGAGATTTCATGTGCCTTGTGTTTGGTCTTGAAGATTGAGGTCCAATTTTGTAGCTCTTTTAGGATATCTTCATCAGAAGACTGCATACTAATCAGGTTCTCTTGACATGCAGGTTACCCATGAATTAAACAACGCTTCTTCAAGACTTTTTATATGATTTTATGCGCTGTCAAACTCTGATGAGTACATACGCTTGCACGTCCAAGTTTCTGCCACGTGTCCCTAATAGCGAAGGAACTCAAGTTGTTGTATGAAAGTTAAGGTGGGTTGCATACTTCTGTACATCGCACACATTCCCGTTGTGCATCGGTGCTAAATGAAGAGTGAAATTGAGATAGCATGGCTGTGCATCTTCTGTTGAGTCTTGCTCGTACGATAAGTTTAGCGCAATTTGTAGTGTATTACGCGGCTATGAACATGATTTGTTAACGCTTTATTATGTTCTTCCTGCAGTTACTACGAAATTTTGGCGATCAATCCATCCCGGTGGGAGGGGTTGCAATTGGGTAGTTCATGAATTTGACAATTTCCAGCATTATTGAACAGGGGAAGCCCAAAACAAAGAAGTGGGATCCTTGTGGTGGCAAGGTCAAAGAACAGGCGTTGCAGTTAACGACTAAAATAGAATCCCCGAAAGTGAAAAAAGAAGTTGAGGAAAGCAAGTCTGAATCTAGTTTGGAAGAAGAATCCAAGGGAATGCGGTTAGCGGCGAAAGACACTAGCGGTCGGAATGCCTTTAAATTTCGGAATATTGATTTAAATAAGGCCCCATCGGCATGGGATACCGAAGAAGTTTCTGCTAGCAACACTGGCGATACGACCAGTTTTAGGGGGGTTCGGCACCGGCCCGAGCTAAACAAATGGGTGACAGAAATTCGACCCACATCTCAGAAACGTAAGATATGGCTGGGAACATATGAAACTCCGGAAGAAGCTGCCCGGGCCTACGATGTTGGCATCTTCTACACAAAGAAGAAGATCCCGTACAATTTTGAGGATTCCCCACAGCAGCTGCAGCTATATCCCATCCCCCCGGAACTGCCTTGGGAGAGTTTTGCCGCCCTCGTGAAGCAGAGGGCTACTTCCGCGGCGAAGAGGGCGAGGGTGCCTTCCTCAAGCTAGAGCGATACGCAGCGTAATTGACGCTGGTCGGCTGAGAGAATGATCATCAAGGTGGGTTGTGATGTTCTATGCTCGGATGAGTGGCTTGAAGGGTTCTGGTTCCAACCATGAGAGCATGACGCGAGTCCCACACGGATGGAGCTTGTGAATGGAGTGGTAGACTGTAGATGGTTTTTGTAACGGCTTGAGTAATAACGGAAGCTTCATGGCTTGAATGACCAGCCATGGTGGTGTGCAAGTGAAGATCGCTGCTTGTGTGAAGGTTTCCATCTTTCCCATCCCCGTCTTCCACTTTGCTACACGTTGCTAGTGTCACTTGAACAATTCATTCATGGACCCTGCTCTCCTTTCCCCTGTTACGAAGTTCTTATGGTAGAGTTCACCGAACGCAAGCTGTCTAGGAAGTTGACAGTTTGTGGGAGCCAAAAACTCTACTTGAGCTACTGTGTGCACGCCTTCTGAGTCCTCCAGCGAGGAGCCTGTATATTATTGGATGGTGCAGGATGGGTCGCTTGGTGCCTTTCTCTTTTTCCTTTTCCTCTTTTTGTAAATGGTTTTCCTTCTATGAATATGTGAAGCTCCTCCCACGGAAGCATATTTTTGATCGAACAAGAGCGGTATTCCTCTCACCATGACATGTCTTCCATCATTCTGCTTGATGTAAACCTGTGAAATAGTTCGTCTTTCTCACCGTCGCAACCTTTCTTTGATAGTGAAGTTTCTAGAGCAGTCTGACGGACAGGCTGTTGCCTCATGCAGTTAATGGCTCGATGCTAAATGGGCTTTCCGTCTTTGATGCTTGTGTCTACATGTTTGCGGCAATCAAATGAGACGACGTTTTAGTCTCAAATTTCTGCTTCATTGCATTGCACACTTGCACAAGAGAAGAGAAAACGATAGTGAGTGGAGCCGCAATCAAGAGTGCCAATTCTATATTGATGTGTATGTTGGTTGATGATGTTATGTGGAATGTTTTGAGATATTGTACAATCAATGCATGTGTGTAGTTGAAGTGGAGGACAATGCACTAGAGAGTAAAGACACCTAATGAACAATTGCTTGATTGTTCAACCTCATCTGTACTGTGGTACTGAGAAATGAATATTTTGTCTGCAGACTTACAATCCAACTTGAAGCAGTACTTTCAAATTGAATGATATTGAATTCTGATTGACTTATTTACACAGAAGTAGCTCTTGAATTACAAGTCAAATTATATATAAACTTGAATTTGAATCATACTACAATTATCATATAGTATTTTGAACGAAAGTGGAAAAAATTTAATAGTTAAATTAGCAGAATAGAAGAATTAGTTAGAAGCGTGACTCCTACACGTGGCCAATCGTGTACATGCTATAAATTGATGTTTAATGCAATTTACACATTATGTTCTAAGACAGTACCTTGTGCAATAAGATTTAAATTTTAAACCTACAAATATTTTTCTAAAGAGTAAAATTTAGATTTCACTTATTGCAAGTATTAGTTAGTTCTCATTAAATTTGATTTGGTCCAATAACTTTTGATAACATTAGTGCACGATTACATGCAACAATATAAGTTATTTGACTATTATTATGAAAAATTACGGTAAATGGAATTACTCACTATTCATTTAGAACCTAATATCCATTTTTGAAAGTGGGAATTTCCGATTGGTTGATAAATACATAATACTCCTAACAACAAAGAACACTCACCACAAACCACATCAACTACAGAGGTTTGAAATAATTATTACGAGACTTGTAGTAATATAGACGTTACTCTAATTCCCTTCGTAAAATTTAATAAGCTTTCAATTATGTTTTTTTTTAAAAATTATGATTAATATTTTATTCAATGTACAATTTGTTGTATTTTTAGAATCCTGACGAACTTCCTGAAGCTCTTGTTTTTCTCTTATTTTAATCCGTAAAAGCACTCTGCCACAACACTATTTGCGGTGGTCGCGTGAATGTATTGGTGTCGGTGATGCCTCAGCCGATGACGAATGCGCAGTACCCTCACGCATCACAAGTTCTCCTAAGCGGATCCGCTATCATCGACATCACCAATGCATCCTTCGCACCTTTCATGATCGGCGTCGGTACATGAGATTCCACTCGGCGACTTGTCGCCGCGGGATGCCCGGTTCCATCGAGATGCGCCTGGAATGCATATCCGGGGCTGCACGCTTTCCACCTCGTGGTTGCTTGCTCAGTGCGATCGAAGCAAAAACCTCTCCCGACTTCCCGTGATTGGTCACGATGTTCCGCTGAGATTAGTATTAAAGCATCATTGGAGATGCTGAAAGCGGTCCATCGAGTGGACTACGACGAGGTTCCGGTTCTCGATGTCGATGATTCGCTGATGACCGCTCATCATGGCGGTGCGACCATCCCACTGTGTTCCTCGAACCCCAGAATCCACCATTTCGGATTGCGATCAGATCTGGCGTGACTTTTTCTGTTCGCGTCGGTTTCACCACCGCGGCTCGACGAACGGCTAGTGGAGGCGAAGATTTGTCGTCAGTCGAGTCTCGTGGCATGGGCGAGGAGTCCAACACGCGGATTCTGCTCTGTCGAGCCAAGTCTGACATCTCAGCCATTTGCAAACCACGCCTCTGTCACGATATAGTTAGGCGCGCCGAACTTTTCAAACGAGCCTAATCAAGATCTGAAGTAGTACGTTAGCTAATGTCCTATCTGAAGGCAATGCTCTTGAAAGAAATGATCTAAGCCGGTTGGGTGGAGTTTGGATAAGTTCAAATGTCCGAAATCAGTTCATCTCAAGTCACCGCCTCGGATTCATCATGCAGATTTCTGCATTGCACGACGTCGACGCGAATTGCGGCGGATTATGCATCATGTGCATTATAATGGGTTCTGTTTCTCCTTTCCAAGAGTTGTCGGCTTCTACTTCTCTGTTTACACAATCTTTGCACAAGTTTTATTATTTTATTCTATATTTTAACCACCTTCCGAAGCTGTGAGCAACGTGGATGATGGCTAGCTTCTTCACGTGTTCTGACATCGCAGCGCACACGAAGCACATAAATTGTCGATCGGCGTTTCCTATTATATCATGGCAGGAAATTGTCTGCAGGTCGTCATGTGACATGTCAAGTCGCATCTTTGGCCATACTCATAAATATTCAGTTCTTTTATGGTTTTTCATCAATTGAATATAAACAAATGGGTCGGTAGCCCGTCGCTATGACAAGGTCACCGAACAAACGCCGAGGACGCATGCCACCAATGCATGGCACCAGGAGCCAGGCGTTTGAATATTCTCCCCATTGCCGGTGGAGCACTATTGTCTAGATGCATGTCCTCCCTATGAAGTTGTCATCAATCTGAAAGACACGAAAAATTATCCGATGCTAGGAGACTTGATCGAGATTGGCTGGGGTGGGATGCGAGAGAGCGAGATGGCGACCTCCTGTTGCTTCATCCAGCTTAATGCCGGCCACCGGGCGGCGCGCGATCTGAGCGCGGAATATTTGGTTGACTCGGGAAGTGCAGCAGTTCGAAGTCTCTTGTTGCGAGATATTGGGCATGATGCGAGGATCTGTAAAGCTTGGCTCTCGATCCCCCGCGGTGACGGAGACGACGACGAAGACAATATCGATAAAAAGAACACCAGCAGTCCACCCCCTTTCTCCTCAATCAAAATCTGCCTAAACCTGCTGCCTCCCAGCATTCGAAACCACTTAAATTTTCTAGTTTTTTCTCTTTCCTTTTCGTAGTATAAGCATACTTGAAAGTCCTGTAGAAAAATAAGCAAGTCGTGGACCAAAAACAAATAGCTTGATTGGATCGGGTTTACATCGTAGAACATTATATTTATAGTCTTGAGTCCAAGATTCTCGCTGTTATACACTTGGCTTGAAAAGACCAAAAATGCTTGGATTCTGTATGCATCCGCAAATGTTTGAAGACCAAAAATGCTAAAAAAATCCAACCATTTCTTGATTATCATGAATATATTCTAGGAGTATTAAGGCAACTACAACAGAGTATCTGGTTGCGTATATATATATATATATATATATATATATTTATCTACGCACACTCATATTGGAGCATTATTGGCCTTGAAAATTTGACAATAATTCACCAAGTCTAACACACATTAAGAATTCAAAAAAGACATTTTTAGAATGAAGACCCTGTTCACTTTTAATCATCAGCAGCCTCAGTAGTCCTCAACAAAAGACAGTGACCACCAGTTTTAATGAAATTATTGCTCAACTACACTTTTGGCACCGGACACCTCATGTACATGCCTTCTTCATTCCATTCACGAGAACTCCCCACAGCCACCCTTGCACCTGGGCCTCTGATACTGAGATCAGCAAGCTTTTGGGTATGAAGCTTTACCTCACGAATTCCTCACCAATGCACTATCATAGGGGGAGGGAAGTTGACCCACTAGCGTTCATCCAAGGTGAACCTGGGCATGAAGAGCGCCACTCATCATGTACGTGATCATGGACATCCATTCTGTGCTCTCAGAGCTGGTTGTTTGACCCGGGGCACTAATCGGTCCACGCTCAACACAACGCAGCAAAGAGTTTCTTCCATGAGCAGGAAGGGAGGAGCTAGCTGAACGAAGGATTTGATTGCGCCTTTGAGCTGCAGGAAGTGCAGAATAATTTTATTTGTTTTAGAGATATGAAGTATGTATTTAGTATTTTTTTATTTTTTTATTTTTTTTAAATTTTTTTATCTTAGTGTGATTTTTTTTCAGAATTTTTCTATCAAATTTTGATGAATATATCATTTAATTTCAGCATATATCTCATAAATGACATTAAAATATATTTTATCTTAATGAAGTTGACATTAAAATATATATTTTTTGATTGAATAACAACTTAATAGACTTAAGTTATAAATAGTCTTAGAATTATAACCATTTGTCTATCTCAATATTGTACAATTGGCCTTGGAATTAGAAAACTATTACTAAATTGAAGTTTTTATCTTTATTTTTTATTTATATATCCTTATTTAAACTTTTGGTTTTGGTTTTGGTTTTGGCTTTAGAACCCCTATAAATAATATTTGTCGCTACTCTATGTAGAAGTCTATAATATATTTCCAACATACAAAATCTTTTGGTTGGAGTTTAAAATTTTTGCTTCTTCTTTATTTAAAAAATGTTGCAAATCATAATAGAAAATGTAATAAATTTATTATATTTCTTTGATATGGAGGAATCAAGATCTTTAGAGATAAATAATGGAGTCTATAATTGATAATTTTTGTCTCACAATAAGAGCATACTCTATTTTAAAATAAAATACCATCTTGATTCATGCTTTTCTTATCCTTAATCAATTTTTGGAGCCTAATTTCTATTTGTAATTATAAATTAGTATTTATTCAAAATTAATCTATCTTTTGAATTTAGGTCACAATACAGCTTTCAATAAATGTTTTTTCCAAAAAGAAATTAGATATTAGAATCTCTTAGATTTAATTATTTTATTAACTATTTACAAAATTAGATAGTCATGATCTTTTTAATGTCTACAATTTCTAGGCTTTTCTTCTTTTTCAGATTTGCAAAACATATTCTAAGACACTTGACATATATAAATCTTTCTTTGCCACTTCATA